TATATATATGATATATATATATATATATTACATTAATATATGTATTTATATTATATATAAAGTGATTTGCCGATACATATACAGTACATGCTGATGACAGGTTCATTGATTGTTCTCAGCTTCTTTTTTCGCATTTTTCCGCCCGAGTGTTCTTGTTATATACCATTGCTCAGAGCTGACATCTTTGGAAACGGACTTCCGACCCCCAAAAATTCGACAAGGTTGATTATTAACACTTATTAAGTTATTCACATCTAAAAATGGTGGTATCAAGACCAAGACCCAATTTTTCTTAGGGGGTTGGCTGCTGGTTGGCTTCAGAAATTCTTGGATCCCTTCCCCAAAGGCTTCACCATGGGCCTAGGATGCTCCAGATGTCCACGCAGCTTCCCCTCAGCGAAGCCGCCGCCGTCCCCAACGGCGTGAAGTTTGCCTTTGCCTCGGGCCTGGCCGTCGCTGGGAACACCGTGGTGATCACCTATGGTGCCGGGGACCGGGACGCCCGTGCACTGGTGATGACGCTGGAAAAACTGGATGTCTCTTGGATGTCTGGATTGGCACAGATATATGGAGATATAGATATCGACTTCAGCAACAATGGAGAAATTCACCAACAGAAAAAGGGGCATTGATATTGGGGATTGATATTCACTACCTTGATATGATATGGAGGGTTTCCTAAAATTGGAATCCCCAGTCGTCACCATGGCTTTCAATGCTAAGTCATGGTCGAATGACTTGGATGATTTGAGGTACACCCATGACTTAGGAAACGGTTTGGGGTACCCCCATTTTAGGAAACCTCCATATATCGATTCAATGCTGAGTTTTCAATTTTTCGGGGTACATTTTTTTAGAGCAGATATCAACTTTTGGGTGTAACGATCCCAACTCTCCCAGTGTATTTACGAGGCTTCAATATTCATTCGGGTTTCACATTGCATCTCATATAGCTGTGGATTTCAGGTGAAGTTGGGCACATGCTGATACGAAATCCTGCACCACCTTGGTTGAAAGTCTAGAAATAGTGGGATGTTTACCACCTATCAACTGGTGATTGGGATTTCTTTCACAGTACCATACTGTACTTTCAAAGAAAGTTCCACACATCAAACCTTGAGGGGACGAGAAATCTTCTGGTTGGTGGTTTGGAAATGTTTGAAAGTTTGGAACATGTTTTTTTTGACTTTCCATATATTGGGAATTGTAACCCCAACTGACGAACTCATATTTTTCAGATGGGTAGGTCAACCACCAACCAGTCTCTGTAAGATTGCATGATCTCTTTGTTGCTTCGTGGTTTATATATCTCATCCCAAGGGCTGAGATGTTGATTGGGATATTGATTGGATGATATTGGATAATACTGGATGTTATTTAAAATCATTTCAAGTTGAATGTGTGTGTAAATTGCATCCAGCTCAACGCTATTGTATGGCACATATGGTACAGAAGACACCAGGAAAAAACAAAAAACACATATGACGTTCATGTGGCAAAGCCGAGGAGATGTTCAAGTGTTCGTCATATGCAGAAGAATAAGGAAGGAGGATGAGCTTTTTGATGTACAGTGCCAAAGAATTTGGCGTTGACAGGAAGGCACTGTCAAATGATCCCCCTGAAAGATTGCTTTGTCAGATGTTTGCATGGAAGCTCGGAAGGAATTCAGTGAACAAGTCTCCTTCTGAACCTCATCATTTTCCAAAGAGTTTGAAGGCTACGGCCCATCTCGTTTGCAAATGCTGCATAGGTCCACTTGTCACAAGTGCGATATTGCTGGCATTGGATGCTCCCTTAAGGGACATCCTATGTTTAGTTTTCGGTGGAGTCATGAGTCACCCACCAGTGGTCTGCAACAGACATTGACACGGACGTACAGTAAATGGGCGGTTGATAGCGAACCGAGGTAACTTTCCCATCTTTCCCCATTTGTTTGCAAATTGTTAGTTTCTTAGGTGGGAATGGGAACAGGGGATGTAATCCTGAAGTCTGAGAACAAATGGGTCCTTTCATGTCCTTTCAGTACGAGTTAGGGTCCGCTCAGCTCTTTCAATGTTCCAGATGCAGGCGGTCACTTTTTTCTTCTGTGTACTTCCAGCTGAACTGCTGATGCCCACTTTCAGATGGAAGTACACAGATAACTTACAGGCAGTTCGTCCATTGGGGGGTCTTGGCTGTTTTCGATCGTTTTCTTTGCCACCCATTTATCAATTTCATCAATCATTCTGAAGCAACATCTTGAAAAACTGTTTCCACAGCCAGGATCATGAAAAAATCCATCATTCCCAGTGGCTGGATTCAATCCCCAAGCGAGGAGCTCAGTTTTCCCCAGTCGAGGCCAATGACGCCTTGATATAGTTGCTGGTAGCTCTCTGCTACAAGAGCAGGGCTATTCCCCAGCGAGTGCCCAGCGAGCAATCGGAACCTGCTCCCTGTACTCCAGACAGTAGCAAGACCCACTTCTTCTTTGGTGACAAAAAGGAAGACATCTTCCATGCCCGGGAGACACAACAGATGCACAGTTTCAAGGTGACAACAGTGTGGGGTGTGGCAACATGTTGGGCATGTTGATGAGGCAGGTCTAAATCATCCACTTTCGGCAGGCGGAGTTCACGAATGTGAGTTTGCTGAAAGCGGCTCAGAGACTTGTTAGCACTTGGGTGCCTGGAAGATGTTTCCAGTCGCCTCGTTTTCCCATTGCTTTCCCCTCAAAATGAACCATTTATGTGAGGACCCAGACACACCCATCTTAACGGATCTTATTGCTGACTCCTAACAGTATAATATCCAATGTCCCCACGCTTTTGCCACTATTGTTGGCTTAAAAACCAATGTTGTTGTTGTTGTTGTTGTCGTGGTTGTTGTGGTTGTTGTGGTTGTTGTGGTTGTTGGTGTTGTTGTGGTTGTTGGTGTTGTTGGTGTTGTTGGTGTTGTTGGTGTTGTTGGTGTTGTTGGTGTTGTTGGTGTTGTTGGTGTTGTTGGTGTTGTTGGTGTTGTTGGTGTTGTTGGTGTTGTTGTTGTTGCTGTTGAACCTCCGTTAAAACTACCTCTCTTGATGGGCGACCCCCACCTGGAAATATCCGTTTTTTTTCGGCATCGTTTTGGGGTACATACGGGACGGCCCTGAGGCTTCAATGGGCATGTGCGCACTTGGTGCCCATTATCGGTGGGGATACTCAGACCGAAGGCATTGGTTTCGGGCAACACACTAAACCATGGAAGTAGGCTCACCTGACCAAGAATCATGGCATTGAATACTAGTTAATTCATGAGAAAATTGAGAAATGTACGGTCTACCAAACCTATTGGAAGTGTGGCAATCTTCAAAGTAAAGCATATACTGATATACTGTTTGTTGAAGTTCGCCCGCAGATGACAGCTAGGAAGACGTTTAGTTCATGACCTCTACTGGAAGTAAAACCGCGGTCCCTATAGGTATTTTTCCATTGGGGGGGTTCCAACATCGCAAAAGATATCGCAAAGTTGGTGATTTGTCATGATTTGTGTTTTACAGATGGCTGGCCCCCATTTGCCCCCAAATAATGTGTATAATATATAAATCTGGTTGGTGGTTTGGAACATTTTTAATGTTTCCATATATTGGGAATAATCATCCCAACTGACGAGCTCCATCATTTTTCAGAGGGGTAGGTCAACCACCAACCAGATTACCATATGATATAATTATATAACCATTATGAATAGAGTATATTAACCACATATTAACCATATATAAATGTTCCATAAATTATTAGATCCGGCCACGAAAAAAGCTTATAAACCCTGCTCAGCCGCCTGGTGGATTGGATCTCTGATGAAATCAGAGGATCGGATTGGGCAGATTTTTGAGACAATCCCGATGTTCGTTGGTGAAAACCCACATGTTTGCAGGTCAAATCAGGTAGCATCCCAGTTTTTAGTGAACGGATAAGCATTTCTTGCGGTTTTGGGATATTGTTTTCTATAGTTTTCAACGACATACATAAGTTGTGGTAGACCTACACCCACATTGACGCTTACTGCTTCAATCCAGTGAAACCCAAATGGTTTTTGGTGGTAAAAAGCTGTAAACATCACCATTTTTGGTTCAATTAATTCGTATGGAAATCCCCTTCCCATCCGAGGTTTGTTGCTCTCAGCCTCCCTGGAAGTGGAGAGTGGCGTTGCCAGGGCTTTGGTGGATTTTATCTGCGAGACGCAGGTGGGGGAAGAATGTCTCATGGGGAAAGTGATGTTTGAATTTACAATTTTTTAAAACACTTGGATTGTGGGAGCAGACTATTTTGCAGATTTTTGCGGAGAAACCCTAAAGATCAAGATTGCCGGGGACACCTCAATCTGGGAATGGACAACGATTTGGGGCCATCCGTTTACTTCATCTTATATTGCCACAATTTAGCATCCTTTCAGATCCTTTCGGCCTATTTTGTTTTTTTTGGATCCACAGTTTTGCCGATTTTTGGGGTCCAGGAAGTCATTCCGACCAAGATGTGCATCCGGATGTTGCTGAGCTCCTCTTAGACGGCTCAGCTTCGGAAAACATCCGATCTGCGCTGGGGTTGAGGGGTGGAAGATGGGTGAAATACCGACTGGTTTGACGGTTCTTTTTAACGGTGTGGATAAAGAATGTTCATCCATGTTCATCTCCAAAATGCAAATCCAACCGCATAGGGTCATAGGGATGGCAGGAGGGTGAAACGGTGCTGCTCATTTCAGAGTAATTCAACTATTTCAGGCAAAAAGTAGATGAGGGACACTTTCAACAGACCTGCATTTGGAACTGATGAGAACAGACCTCTGCCATTGCCCATCACTTGAGCTCACCTTGTATTTGTGAAATTGATATGTCGAAGGAAGTTTTCAGGTCAGCTCAACCATCAAAGCAGTTGGTACTGACAGTTGTTTACTCCACTTGGTGATTCATCATCCGAATCGTAGGTAGATTACAACCAATTGATATCAATTTATAACCTGAAAAGTGGAGGATGACTAACTTCGCCCATTGATTTCAGGTTTATACACCCTACCTGGCCTCTAGGGGAAGCAGCACAAATTTCCATCTTGATCCGCGAGGTTGGACCTCCTTCGCTTCGCAGCGAGTGGAAGGTGGACTCTGGAAGAAGTCATGTTGATCCACCAATTTGGGATGGTTGAATTCTATAAATAGTGGGATATAATACAATATATGATCTTTATAAAGATAAATAATAGTTATAATCCCATTAATAGTCATATAAATATTGATAAATAATAGTGATCCACTATTTGGGATAATAATAGTTATAAATATATAATGGGATCTTTACCGAATCCCCTGGACATCCAGGTCCTCTACCAAGCACCACCACAAAGTGCTCGTTTCCTATAGGAACCTGACACAACGTGCTTACAAAACTGATCCACAATGGTGAACTTCATGAGATGGCCCACTTTGAGGCTCAAGATGCTCGTTTTTTGATATCCCCAAAGAACTTTGATCTCTATAGAGCCTTTGAAGGTGTACATAAAAAATGGAAATTAATGTGGACTGTGCCTTCTTTCCCAGTGGACTTCTAGTTTTCCACTGAATTATCGAAGATGTATTGGTATCCAATTCGAAAGCTGCAAAAGTGTGTGGTACAAAACGATTTTCACACTTCAATTCACAAAAAACGGGCGCAGAACCGAAAGTGTGGAAAGTGCGTGAAAAAACCGTGAAAACACCGTGAAAGTGAGTGAAAAACCCTGATTTTAGGGTCACCTGGTCACCTTGATCCGTGAAAAAACACATTGATGCCAATCGCAGCACATCGGTTGGTTGCAGTCCACTATATATACAATTTTTTGCAATGGGGGTAGTTGAAAATGTCCTACGAAAAGCCAAAGAAAGGACAGCCAGAGCTAATGCGAAGATCAGTGGTTCGAATGCTGCTAAGTTTGGGCGTAAGATTGGAATTCGGTCTTTGCTCATTAAACATGTTTATATAGCTATACTTATTAGTTCAATGGGGTGTATATATATATTATATATATATATGTACCTAAACCATCATAAACATAATAAAAAGTCAAGATGGTACTTTACAGTAACGCAGGCACTTTCTTTATAAGTGCTCGTTTCCTTGGCACTTTGGAAGTTCTGGGATCTATCAACTGCTTCAGGATTTCGCTACCATCCACAGTATCATTTGTTTTTTTTTTGTGGGAAATCAGCAAACTCCACCGTCCCACCGTCGCAGTGAAGCCCCTGAAAGGGTGGCTCCCAAGAAAAAAAATCACCTCTGCGGAAACTGAGAGATGATAGCTACAGCTATATATAGCTATGATATGCTATGATCAAGCTTGGGATTTTGGGGAAACTATATCTAAAGGAGGAACCAACACCAACCGAGAATGACGAGTCTTTGCTCTCTCAGACTTGGTTTGAAGCGACATGGATTGCAAGAGTACCGCGGTTTGGGGTACATCAATCTTTCCTAAAACCAATCCAGTGAGATTGGAGGCAACCCCTATAGTTTCTTGGACACACCCCAATGATCCAAATAATGATCTTCGGATATTTTTCTGGTACAAGCCACGGCTTCCATCCACATCTTTGTTGCAGTATATATTTTTTCTTTGCAAACCACCCTTTCTTTGCGGTGCTTGGCCGTCGCAGGCCGCGAGAAAGTCTGCAGCTTTCGGATTTCAGCTCCATTGGAGACCTCGAAACTTCGCTGCACTTGGAGCAGTTGGAGCTGTGATCTGTGCCGTTTCAGGGCGAGGTTACATGGTCTATTCTTCACCTTCGCATTAAGTATATGTATATTTTGATATACTGTATGTATCTGTATGTAGATTTCATGTTCCAGCTTAGCTGCGGTTTTCCCTGGCTTCCCACTGGGTTGTTGTGGCTGTGCTTTGCCAATTGAGGAACTCATCTACTGGAGTCTGAATGGAATGCAACAAATGGAGCAGCAAAACGGACAGAATGCAGCTGTGCCTCCTTAGCGCTTCAAGGAACCTGGGAAAGGAGTTGCCCATCCTTCAAAAGTGGGTTGCAATGATCCGGAGATTGTCTGAACATACTCCACCCCGAAATCCCATAGTTGATTTGATCATTCTCCTGAGTGAAGGTGCTAATGAGTCCCCTATCTGGGCAGTCTCATTGTGGTTACAATGTGCTGTCCCTTCGCTTACCTCAGAAGTTTAGGTTCTATCTCTTTCTAACTCCCTTTTAACAGAGATATCCACCGCAAAGCCATCCGTGATCATCCGTTGAGCCAGGTGATTCTGAAGCCCCCGCGGCTTGAAACCTAGGGCGGTGGGAAGATTTACGGTTGAACCCGTTGAACCCCCCCATATTTCATGGAGAAATCCCATGGTATTCCAAAAATTCCCTGAAACCAATCCATTGATTTTTAGTGTTGTAGATCTTATCGCCCTCAAACTGATGGATGGTTTTACCCCACATTTTTGTTGACCCCTGAGTCACTGAGGCCTTGCTGAGATTTACTGGCAGTCTTCAGGAGCAGTGACCAGTTGACAGTGGTTGATTAGCGGCTATAGGTTTATGATTTTATATGCTATTTCATAGGGAGTCATGCTTATTTATACTACCTAGATCTACCTGGTTTCTTGGGGATTATCATCCATAATGGAAACTATCAGCATCAATCACAAAGCGATCAGTAATTATATGTCAAGCCAGAAGAGCCGATATCCTAACTTCACGGCAGTCTGCATGGGGAAAATGATGACATCCACTATGGTTTGTTGAGGGGGCCCACGATTTTTGGATAGGCCCAATGCTAAAGATGCCATCACAGCCCCGATATAGAAACATGGCTTTCTCCGAAGTGGGGAATCCCAAAAAAGCAATGTTGATAGTTTACAGTTTGCAGGGAACATGCAGTTTTAACATATTGAATCTTGCAGGTACTGGACAACCCCTTGGCTATGGAACCAGTCCCAGTTAGGGCTGTGTAACTCAAAACAGAAAACATCAAAGAACTTTTGTGGCAACAAAATTCATTGGTACCGGTACCCCATTTTTGGACTCTGTAAAGTGCCATACCCCCTATCGATTCCTATCGTTTTGTCTTGAAATTTTGATCATCTCCAAGGCACACGTGAAGCCTGGAGGATTTGGATTTGGGGAATCGAATGGCCACAAATGTCAGGCTAGTGAATTAATAATTTGCCCAGATCTATATAATTCTATATATCTATACCTACACATCTATCTATATATCTGTATGATCTGTATTATATAAACCCCATGAAAATGTATGGCATGTATTCACATCGTTGCTGGAAGCCCAATGATGTTTGTTGAGAAGATCCCCATCAAACAGTGCAGATGTTTTCGGTTGAATTATAACAAACTCACCACGACGTCACTCCTACTGCACATGATGATAGTTAGAGGAACCACCCCAAAGTGGCCTTATGCTAAGTTAGTGACGAATTATATGTCATCCAATTTTATCCAGATCTGTACATGTATATATACATATAATATAATATAATATAATATAATACAATATCATATAATATAATACAATATCATATCATATCATATCATATCATATCATATATCATATCATATAATATAATATAATATAACATAGCATAACATAGTATGATATAATATAATAAACAATTATAATTATAGTTGTAATTATAGTTGTAATATTATATAATATCGCATAGAATATATATATATGTACATATTATTATAACATTATTATATATTATATGGGGGTTTCTTAAAATGGGGGATCCCCAAAACCATAGCTTTCAATTCTAAAGTGGTCTAACGACTTGGATTACTTCCGGTTCGCCTCGCGCGCTTGCGGCACCAGACTGAAAACTGAAGCTTCATAAAACCGTCTGGCATATGGCATAGGTCCTGCCGATGGATGAAATCCTGCACCAGTTAGTGGATAGTTTATCCCAATCCCATGATTCACATTGTTTCATGATCCCATTCCACAGTAGGTCAACAAAATTTCAACAAACATTATTGACATTCATCTTAAATGACTGTTTTCAAATGTTGGACCACATTTGAATTTGTTTTAACAGCTGCTTCCGGTGTTTTGATCCTGTTCCGGGCCCACGCGCATCCCTCGTCTGAAAAGGCGAGCCATATGTTTCAAGTGTCGCCCCGCGATAGTTCCTTGAAGAGAAATGTCCTGCTGGGCTTGTGGCTTCTTAGCGCCGCCGTTGCTGTAAACGCTGCAAATGCCGCTCTCGAGGAATGTGGAGAGGTGGGACTACGCGATCCTGTGGGAGCATGGCTTGATTGGGGGTGCGCATCTAGCATGTTGGTATGAAAAATGGGGAACAAGGGTGAACTGACCCATGCCCGTCTCTTTTTGGAGGATGCTTGTTGTCTTGTTGTTGTTGTTGTTGCTGCTGCTGCTGCTGTTGCTGTTGCTGATGGTGTTGTTGTTGTTGCTGCTGCTGTTGCTGTTGCTCCTGCGGGTGGTGGTGGTGCTGCTGAGGGTGCTGTTGCTGTTGGTGTTAGTGTTGGTGTTATTGTTGCTGCTGCTGTTGTTGCTCTTGCTGTTGTTGCTCTTGCTGTTGCTGTTACTGCTGTTGCTGCTGTTGCTGTTGCTCCTGCTTGCTGGTGGTGGTGGTGGTGCTGCTGCTGCTGCTGCTGCCTGCTGGTGCTGGTGCTGTTGGTGTTGTTGTTGTTGTTGCTGCTGCTGCTGCTGTTGATGCTGTTGCTGTTGCTGTTTCTGTTGCTGCTGCTGGTGGTGCTGCTGCTGCTGCTGTTGCTGGTGGTTGTGGTGGTGGTGATGGAGGTGGAGGTATATGCCTTTGGAATTGATACGATTTGAATGGTAAATGTAATGACAAAATATGACAAACCATTTCCAGATAACCCAATTGTACCATCTTGTTTTCTCAAAGCATCTAAGCAGTATATACGAAAAGGCGGCTTATTGCGCTGGCTCAGCTCTACCACAAGAAAGTCCGAAATTGGATGATTCTAACAAGCCCCAAAAAGATCGAACAATAACGTACCACTATTACTATTATTTTTGTTCTGTATTTTTGTGTTTTGACTTTCTATCCTTTTTGGGGTTGCTCTGTACCCACGTACCGCCTCGTCTCCGGTGAGTGCGTGGTTTTCACTGGCCAGGCGAGTCTCCTTCAAAGCTTACCCACGGAGCCGTTGAGCATGAAGGATAAAACTGGCTCTTCTTGCTTCATGAACCACAAAGATGGCGATATCATGGGGTCTGAGATGGGGTTTATGAGATGGGGTTTAAGCATTTTTACGGATTTGCTGAAGGATTTCTGGGTGAACCTTGGGCGGGCAGTTCAGTACTAACTAGTCTTGTGCCATGAATGGGTATGGATATACAATCATATATATATATACTGTATCTATATATGTGTATATATATATACACATAAAAATATATTTACTAACCGCAAAAGCCGCAAAAGATAAAAGTATTATTGCCAAGTCGAGGATTTTGTTTGGGTTATTTTTCCTATTTTCCTGTTCTGAAAAGAGTTCACCCACATGTTTTTTTTTGGGGAATCGATTGGTCCGAACTTCGGTGCAGGAAGATCTTGCCAGTCCGAACCGTACAAACTGGCTGGACAGCATCATTGCAAGGGAAAGGAACGAGGAAGTCATGGCAGTCAAAGGCAAAAACTTTCGGGACGATGCGATGAGTATTGCAGGCGCCAACAGATTGCACAGATTGCAGTCTACTGTGGTATTTCACCAATTACAAAGCCCATTCCACACACCAAAAGTGGTTGGTACCATCCCCTCTCCCCTGGAAGTTTGTAATTGGTGCCACAAAAAACAATTAGCTCTATATAGAGTAGATGTTTTTCCACGAGGACATCGTGTTTTTTTTCACCCGATTGTTGAGTAAAGCCTCTGGTAATCTAACATAGCATCACATAGTAGCTATGGAAAGTGACTCATGTGTAATTATTTGTAGATGATTTATCTATTAAACCTGGCGGTTTTCCACGGCAAACTGTTAGATTACCAGAGGGTAGTAATCACCTATATCCATCTATATCCCATTATTTCTACGTAGTAGTTATATCTCATCCTATCCCATGATGTGATCCATTATTTATGGTTGGTTATTGACTTTGTACCAAATCCCCATATGTTCCTATTCTCATAGCTGTGTTGGGAATGGTTTTTTCCCCTTCAATTTTTCAAGCAGAGATCAACCCTGCTATGCGCCAGGTATCGGCGTAGCAGCATCAACCCTAAACTTGGCTGACGTGGTCTGGATGCTTCCCTTCCTGGTGGGCACTGCTGGACTGCGATTTGGAAGGGGCCGAAAGGGGCCGAAGGGTCCGAAGGGGTTGGAAAAACCGGCTACCCCTAAATCAACTGCTTACAGTAATTGATTTAATTACCATTGGTTATCATTAATGTGGTAAACCCAACAATAAACCTACCATTTTTTCGGGATGGTTTATACCACACATTTTTAGCGATATTGGTGATGGTGTATATGGTGGTTTACCACTAATCATCAATAATTATTCCTTCAGACGTAGCTATGTGAAGGTATACCCCGTTTGCAGACACACACCCATGGAAAACGTGGTGAACCTGACCCGTCAGATGGTCCTGGCTCAGAATTCAGCTCCAAAATGGATGGTTTGGTGCTACGGATGACCGCACCTCAAAATCCAACCATTTCAGGTTGCTGAATTCTGCAGTTCAGTGCAGTCAATGATTCTTAGGGGTCCCCAAGATATCCCAGAGTCCTAGTTTCCGCGGTATACAAGGGTACTATGTTAGTAGGAATTTACTGTCTTTTTGGGGTTATTGTAGCCATACGTCGCCATTTCCAGACGAAGAAGTGCTCGAAAACGGTGGCTTACCCGCTGGTAATCAGTCACATGGCTTGGTATAGATGCCCATGGCTTGTTCAGGGATGTCCTAGCCATGTTTGAGGACACCAGAGGGTAAATCTGTTACACATATCATATATATATATAAAATTATATAATTATCCCTTTTGCATTCCCATTTTGCTTGGTTTATTCCCTAAAAGAATCCTACCAACATGTTGGTTAACTCATATTTTTGATGCATTGTTGGTCATTTTTGTTGGTTAACTCATATTTTTGATGCATTTTTGATGCATTTTTGCTGGTTAACTCATATTTTTGCTGCATTGTTGGTTATGTTTGTTGGTTAACTCATATTTTTGATGCATTGTTGGTCATTTTTGTTGGTTAACTCATATTGTTGCATTTTTGATGCATTATTGCTGGTTAACTCATATTTTTGCTGCATTGTTGGTCATGTTTATTGGTTAACTCATATTTTTGATGCATTGTTGGTCATTTTTGTTGGTTAACTCATATTTTTGATGCATTTTTGATGCATTTGTTTGCATGTTTGATGCATTTTTGCTGGTTAACTCATATTTTTGATGCATCGTTTGATCATTTTTGTTGGTTAACTCATATTTTTCATGCATTTTTGATGCATTTTTGCTGGTTAATTCATATTTTTGATGCATGTTTGATCATTTTTGTTGGTTAACTCATATTTTTGATGCATTGTTGGTCATTTGTGTTGGTTAACTCATATTTTTGATGCATTGTTGATGCATTTTTGATGCATTTTTGCTGGTTAACTCATATTTTGCTGCATTGTTGGTCATTTTTGTTGGTTAACTCATATTTTTGATGCATGTTTGATCATTTTTGTTGGTTAAGTCATATTTTTGATGCATTGTTGGTAATTTTGTTGGTTAACTCATATTTTTGATGCATTTTTGATGCATTTTATTTTGCTGGTTAACTTATATTTTTGATGCATGTTTGATCATTTTTGTTGGTTAACTCATATTTTTCATGCATTGTTGGTCATTTTTGTTGGTTAACTCATATGTTTGATCCATTTTTGATGCATTTTTGCTGGTTAACTCATATTTTTGATGCATGTTTGATCATTTTTGTTGGTTAACTCATATTTTTGGTGCATTTTTGATGCATTTTTGGTGGTTAACTCATATTTTTGATGCATTGTTTGATGCATTTTTGTTGGTTAACTCATATTTTTGATGCTTCAACAGCAAGCCTCAGATTTCCAAAAAACTAACCGCCACATTTTTGGTGAGGAGTTTGCAGCGCGGCCTTCTTCGCCATCATCTCGCAGCTTTGGGCGACCCTGGTGGTGTGCCTCTACATTGGCGGCGGACTGGAAGAATGGAGCAACAGTCACTTGGCTGATACCGGTGCTAAATGTAGGGAATGGATGCGAATGATCCATAGTGACTATTCGAAGGAAGTTTAGAAGTCAAACTTCCGACAATATGGACAGATGAAAAGCAGAGCAGGGAAGAGGCAGAGAGAAGAGAAAGATTAGAAGAAAGAAGATGCAGATGCGAGAAAAGGTAGGAAAGTCGCGAAACACTGTGTTTTTCCAATGATTTGGGGCTCCGGAGGGTCGAAAAGTAGGCTCGCTAAAGTGGCGGGTGCGGAGCCATTTGGCCGGATGAGAGATGAACAATTGCACGCCGTTGTGGCGCGAAGCACATTTCGAAGTCAAAATATACAAAACACACCATTCTCGGACCACTTTTGGAAGTTGAGATGTCGAAAAAGTGCACGCCGTTGTGGCGCGAAGCACATTTGCAAGTAAAATGTACAAAACACACCATGTACGGACCATTTTTGGAGGTTCAGATGTCGAAAAAGTGCACGCCGTTGTGGCGCGAAGCACATTTCGAAGTCAAAATGTGCAAAACACACCATTCTCGGACCACTTTTGGAAGTTCAGATGTCGTTTCGCGTGGCAAGCGCAAGGGATTGTGGACCTTGTCAAAAGTGAGCAAAAAGTGAGGGTTTTGTAACATTTTCAACTATGACCACCACTACACCACACTACACTCCAATACATTACACTACAACTACAACTACACCTTCACTACATTCTACTACACTACACTCCACTACACTACACTGCACTCAATTACACTCAATTACACTACACAAAACTACATTACACTACACTACACTACACTACACTACACTACACTACCTTCCACTACACTACATTACACTACATTACACTACACTACATTACACTACATTACACTACACTACACTACCTTCCACTACACTACATTACACTACACTACACTCCACTACACTACACTTCACTACACTGCAACTACAACATCACAACTACACTCCACTACACTAAATTACACTACACTACACTACATTACACTACACTAAACTCAAATACACTACAACTACAACTACAACTACACTACACTCCACTACACTCGACTACACTAAATTACACTACACTACACTACATTACACTGCACTACACTACATTCCACTACACTTCACTACATTACACAACACTACCTTACATTGAATGACACTGCACCACAGATAGACAGGTAGACAGATAGACAGATAGATAGAAATCATAGATAGATGGATAGATAGATAGGTAGATAGAAAGATGGAAAGATGGATAGATGGATGGATAGATAGATAGATAGAGATAGATAGGGATAGATAGATAGATAGATAGATAGGATTAGATAGGATTAGATAGGATTAGATAGATAGATAGATAGATAGATAAATAGATAGATAGATAGATAGATAGGTAGATAGTCAGAGAAAGAGAGAGAAAGAGAGGAGACCTCAAGCACCTTTCGGTCCATCAGTGGATTCGCTCTGCCATCCCTGATTCACAACAACCAATCTCTCCTATAGGTTTCCTATTTTTGAAACTTCCGCCACCGCCTTGTGCGGTACTACTGGTAAAATCTATCAAATACGATTGACAGTCATTCCATTCATGATCCATAGTGACTATGAAATACCATTCCCCCATTGACAATGAAGCATTGGGAATAGATATGAATAGATATAATGATTGACAATCGTATACAATAGTCACATAGCAATGGGAATGGTGACTATTGAATACTAGTGACAATCACCCCATTCCTCCATTCCCCCACTAATCAGTCACTTGGTGCTGACTTCATGGGACTGGGACATGGTACCTCCCCAATTTTACAGCCTAGGGCCTAGAGGTTTATTTATCTAGGGTTGACATTACTTACATTGGATGGGAGAAGACTAAAAACCCATGGTTTATCATCTTTTGTCGCCACTTTAGATCTATATGTTTTTTTTAAACATGTCATTTTGGGGGAGGATACCTAATTTCACATTTTTTTCCCGGAATGCGTAGCGAAGGGTTCTTGTTGTCTTGGTAGGGGGTGTGGGGGTGGAGCCTTGTTTGCGGCTTGTTGCGTCTTTGTCGCGTCTAAGTGTGGAGTGTCCAATATGAATAGCGTGTAGTGTGAAGAGTGTGGAGTGTGAAGTGTAGAGTGTGGCGTTTAGGACGGTTGTTATTTGATTTTATTTGTTGCATCTGGAATGCTTGTGTGTTGTTTTCAAGAAATGCTTGACTATGTATGACTTACTAAAGTTAATGTTACTTTTTTTGGATGAGAGCAGTCACTAGGGTATAGTCCTGATATAGATAATTTATGATAGTTTTCTTAATACGGTTGCTAGTATTGGCAATATTTTTGGAGCTATCAATCTTGAAAATATCAAAGTTCCTGAGTGCTTTATTATAGAAGATGAACTGCAGGAAAGGTTTGATATACCAGTTTTCACGATGATCAGCATGGTACTGCTATCATTTTATCTGCAGCTAGAGGGTAGAACGTGTCATGTTCCATATGAAGTGCGCAGCGTAGAGTGTGAGAGTCTTGCTCCTTGAGCATGTGTTTGATTGGGTGGTATTGCATTGGGGATTGTCCAGTTGAACGCGTGAAGTGTGGAATGTAGAGTGCAAAGTGAGGACCGCAAATTGAGTATGGGTTTCGGACGTTTTCAGCATTTATTCAGCGTTTGTTTTGTGCCTACCTATTCTTGCATTGATTTAAACAATCTATTCGGGTACGTGGATTCTATCAGGTTTTTCAGGAAACATTTAGAGACTGTCTAAATTTGTCTTTGGGGGTTAAAAAAAAACCTGTGGATTTCCCCAATTTCGGCTAATTTCCCCATGAATTTGTTGCGGTAAATTCTTGCCATCAACAATAGATTTTGAAACCAACAAGAATTGGGTTTCGACGAATACTATGGGCACGGCTTGAAGGTGGGGGTAGGAGCAGAACCACAAAAGTTGTCATTTTTGGTACAACACCATCCAATTTTTGGGAATCGATCATTTGAAGCCGTAGCCATGTGTTTGTTCATCCGACCTGGGATGAAAATCCTAATTCCGATTGTTTTTTTTTGTCTCGGGGTGACACCGCCGACCAGATCGCTACGTTGACTATATGATAGCCACTTGGCAAAAGTTGTGGAGGGTTGACCCGGAGAGAAGCGGCTTTCCATAATATGCTCTTGGGAAGTTCTTAGGCTGCTTCTTGGAAGTGTTCACCTTGCGTGTTTTCGACGTGTCAGGAGGATCAAACACGAACCTGCCTGGAATTGTCAGCGAGTTCGAACACAAATTGTGGATTCGACATTTTGAAAATTACTTTACTTCGAGTGATCCCCACCATGACATTTATCGAGTTGTTACTGGCAAATCTTCTGGCATTCTATCTGACATATCTTCTGGCATTCGATCCGGCATTCTATCTGGCATATCTTCTAGCATATATTCTGGTATATCTTCGGGCATTCTATCTGGCATATCTTCTGGCATTCTATCTGGTATATCTTCTGGCATTCCATCTGACATTCTATCTGGCATATCTTCTGGCATTCTATCTGCCCGTTGAGGTCCAGCAGTGCACACTGAGCTGGGGAGGTCCCCGGTTGAGGTCCAGCGGTGCACCCTGCGCTGGGCAAATCCCAGGTTGAGGTCCAGCGGTGCACACTGGGCTGGGCAGGTCCCAGGTTGAGGTCCAGCGGTGCACACTGAGCTGAGACGGTCCCTGGTTGAGGTCCAGCGGTGCACACTGAGCTTGAGGTCCAGCGGTGCACACTGAGCTGGGCAGGTCCCAGGTTGAAATCCCAGTGCGCACTGAACTGGGAAGTTGGCAAAGAGCTTGGCGAAGAGAGTTGGCAAAGAGCTTGGCGAAGAGTTGGCAAGGCGGAAGTGGAGGTGAAAGTTGATGCAGACATGGTCGAGGAGAAACTAGAGGGGGAGGAGGAGGAGGACGAGGAGGAGGAGGAGGAGGACAGCTAGCCGAGGAGGAGGAGGAGGAGGAGAACAGCTCTGATAAAATCTAACAACCCTCACCTGGCAGGTGGGGAATCAAGGAATGAAACCCCATCCTTTGGGATTTACACAAGAACCTCTTCGACTATGAAATTCGGTACGATTTATGGAGTCGCGTCTGCCGATGTTCTCATCCAATGGCTTGGCTCGAGACAGGTTTACAGCAGGAAACTCTATCTGAAAATGGGCACCCCCAAATCCCACAGTTGAGCATCATGTTCACCATTAAATTGCAATTTTAGGGTATACCATAGTGTACCCCATTTCCAAACACACCCATGTGTTATTTCATGTTATTTCTAAAAACATAAAAAATCCAAACAGATTTCCCCTTGATCCAGTTCTGGGTTTCTTAGGGCGTGATCGCACTGGCATTCGCATTGATGCAACTTATGCAGGCGATGGGTGACCGACTGGGTAGACCATGCTGCAATGGGAATATCTATCATGAGCTAAGACTTTCTTCTCGCGGGTTATGGAAGATTAGCCACGTGGAAATCCACGTAAAACGGATGCCTTGAGTGTATCCTTTGGGTAGTCGTCCAACCCACATTGCTGATAATCATTAGAATCAGGAAAGGTGTTTGGTTTTGGCCTCCGTGACAAGACAACCCCAAAAGATAGACGAGGAAACTATTCCTAATGTGGGAACCATTTTTCACCATCCCCAAGTCATCACCATTTTTATCATAAAAACCATCCCCAGTCTTGGTAGTTTATTGGCCTTCCCACATTCAGCCATAAATACATACATATAAATACACTGTTGAATCATCATCTTCTCTTTACAAACGCCATAAACATGTAATAAATCTGATGACTTTTCCAGGCTTTTCCCCTTTTCTATCGTCTTGGGTGTTGCTATTTTGCTGTGGCATGGACCTCGGGAAAACCGGGACCGGGATGAGCCTAATGACCAGGATGACCCAATGGTCCAGAGACTGGATGAGCATAATACAAACAAGTATTGAATAATACTCGTATTACATAATATGATATGATACAGTTTATATACTATAAGAAAACATAATACACACTATACTATTACTAGTACTAGTGTTATACAGTACTAGTACTATTACGCGCAAACCCCCCAGTTCGCCCACACAACTTCTTAGGGATTTTAAAGGAATATAAATTCCCACCCCCGTTAAACTTTACATTCAATTGGGAAGATCAACATGGGTATTAGGAATATAAATTCCCACCGCCGTTGAACTTTACATTCATTGAAGATCTTCAATACGGGTTTAATTCTTCCACCCCCGCTACACTTCTACATTCATTGAAGATCTTCAATAAGGGTTTAATTCTCCAACCCCCGTTAAACTGCTACATTCATTGAAGATCTTCAATAAGGGTTTAATTCTCCCACCCCTGTTAAACTTCTACATTCATTGAAGATCTTCAATAAGGGTTTAATTCTTCCACCCACGGTCAACTTCTACATTCATTGAAAATCTTCAATAAGGGTTTGATGATGATAATGATGATGATGATGGTGATGATGTTGTAACATTCAACGCACACGTAGCAAAGCTGTGCGTTGCAAGATGAAAGCCATGATTATGGACATGTGCATTGTGTCCCACAAAACACAGTGTTTTTTGATGTTCGGACATGTCGTCGGCGTCGGCGCGGGCAAACTGAGGGGTTTGCCCTTACTATTACTATTGATATTACTATTGCTTTTACTATGAGTATTACTATACTACACCTTAATTAATTTAGTATACAGTAATATGATATAACATAACATAATATACCGTAATATTGTATAATATAATTTACTATGATGTTTAAAAAGCAGAATAAAACATAATATCACATCAGACAATATGATATAACATAATATATCAGAATAGAATTGAACATAATATAGGATCATTTCATATACAATACTATACTATAATATCGTGTAATTTAATAAAATAAACTATAATATAATTCAAACATACTAATACTATACTATAATACAATATAGTTTAATATAATATGATACAATACAAAATCATATTTAGTATTGTTTAATATAGTTTAACAATTACAACAAATACCGGTTTCATATTGTACATAACATGATGACATGATATGATGCGTAATGTTACGATATGATTTGACATGATATGGATATATATATATATATCTATATAATACACAACATAGATGTCTAATGATTCATGTATATAGTTGTATGCATGTATATATATATATACTTATATACAATGAATATACAATGGATATATTTGGACAAAGGCCCCTGGATTAGTAGGGTTTAGAATCAATATGTCTCCATCATGGCCTCAAGATCTCCATCAATCTTGCCCCCATTTCTTGCTGGCTTTCACTCCGCCTCTAGTAGTTATAGTGGATCGTCAACCTGAATATGACTGGAGAAATTAGCCCATGTGAGCCATTTTCGCAAATGTCAAAAGGTGGGGCATGATCATCAATCCATGACGGGATTCACATGCCCTGGGGATTGCCACTACGGGATGGATGACCCCTGACATCGCCAGGAGAATTGCCACTGTGTCAAAGATCGCGATGTCAATGATGACGAGAGCAACAAGCACCCTGCGGAGCGGTTCAGCCTAGGCCCATGGTGGGGGAGACGGTAAAGCATCAATAGGAACATTGAACAACATGAAAGGAGATGCAGTGACCATGATGAAATCATGATAAACCATGATAAATCATGATAAACCATGATAGATCATGATAAACCATGATAAACCATGATAAACCATGACAAACCACACTAGTATTGGTCATGTTTTTTTTTTTTTATGACCAATCAACCAGAAGTAGTCTATAGTTGGGGTATGATGGATGATTGACAATATCTTCAATTTGCGGCCATTTTCATGGGGGATGATTAGACCAAACATAATTATCATTGCAGGATACAGTCGGATATACAGTACTTGCTATAATTGATCTAATAATACACTTGGAATTCCAAGGGGTAAACACATGTTCGGTTGGTTGTTTCAAATATTGTTAATATCCAGGCACGATGATCCCAATTGACTCATCTGCCATAGGGGAAGGGGTCAACAGTCAACAGAATGGTCCAAATCAATACTTGGCACGCTCACAATAAATGACCCCGAAATTTACTGAGATGGGTTCCAGATACTAATCCAAAATATGATTAGCGATGTTTTAGTGCTGTGGGACTCCGCCCATATTTTTCCAATATCTTTTCCATATGACCCGAAATGGTTCAGATTCCCCCCAAGAAAAGTGGTTGTTGGGGTTTAGTGAGCCCTACTCATAAACCCAAACATTGGCGGAAATCACCTTTTATCGCCATTTAATGGTTCTTTTGTTGGGTTCCCTCATTTTTTTGGGGTTTGATCTCCGTTTGAAGTCATTGGTTAGAAACCCTAAAACCCTCCCTTCCCTTGATAAACATGGATAAAACCCTATGATTGGTTGACAAATCATTCAGAATATGATTGGTTTTGGTTGTTTGTCCCCAACACATCCCTGGTTTCCGAGGTGCCTTTGCCCTTTTGACGGTTGTGGCGACCTTTGACCAAGTCTTAGTCTATGTTCCGTTGCTGAAACGTGAAGGTGTGACCTGCGCTGACCTAGAGGCCGAGCGTCAAAAAAGAGGGGGTGGTGGTGACCATGAATCAACACTCACAGCAATATACATAGTTCTGGGTAAATTATAACGACCTCACTGCGACCTCACTGGAAATCATGGTTAATAAGGGGAATCATCCCCAAATGGCCTTAATTCAGGTTAGTGAAATTATAATTTACCCAGATAGTTGTATTGTACGCAACAGGAATATGTAAAAGATACTTGCCATATTCTGTCTGCAAATCCCTTCCCCGGCCTAGTTGTTGCCTGCATTCACTTCGATAAATCTTCAACTTTCATATTCTAATTGCTGGTCCCTGCAAGTAAGAAACGCCGTAGGTCTTCTGAAGCCACAAAGGATCTACATTGAAAGTCAAACTGTGCACTGAGAAGTGGGTTTTGCTTAGAGAAACTCCTGTCCTGGACTTCGGAATTCACACTCCGCAGTTTTGGCCATATGGGGATGGGTCTCTGCAGGTTGGTATTCTATTGGCGACTTTGGTGACCTTCCTGATCTGCTACATTGCCACAAAGATCCCTGGCGTTCTGAACATCTTGAAGGCTGGGTTTCGCCACCTGAGGTGCTGGGACCCTAAGATATACCCTTTTTTTTCGAGTCTTAGCCACCACCTGAGATGGTAGTGAGGTAGTGGTTAACCCCAAGAAGGCTGAGGTTTATCAAGGAAATACATAAATCATGACCGCGGGAGCTTTACCTACTCATTGCTGTCTTGACCGCTGGGCATCATAATGACAGGAGGAAGAAACGACAAAATAGATTGATGCACATTTGGGTCTGCCCGAGAATGGAGGATACCTCAAAATGGCCTTATTTTTCCGTAAGGAATCAGCATTGATCAGCCATGATGAGGCATTTTTCAGTTCGGGGTACCCTATTTTTCAGACATCCATTTTCAATCCGAGCCGGGATTCTGATCTTCACTTGTCAGATTCTGGAGAGTAGCTGAAATACAAACCATGCATTTTTAGAAGTGTGGCTCCCCGACCAATCAGCTTTCTTTCAAAAGACCCCCTTCTAGATCCGAACCACGGGAGTTGGTACCAGGGATGATGACCCGAAATTGACTGGTACCGATGTCGTGAAACGTAATACTGTATATCTGTAGAGTTTTTTTTGGCAGAAGATGGCAGGAGATCCCAATCTGGCTGCCGGCCCTGTTCGTTGGCGTGGCGTCCATTTGCGAAGGACTTCTAGGATTCTAGGGATGACTCCCAGTGGACCCGTGATGGGTTGAGCGCAGCCCAATTGCCCAAGGTGAAGCCTAAACTGGTGGAACCTGGATTTTGCCGCTGGTCTTGTCACAGGAAGCAGTTTTTTCAAAACGTTTATCCTTGCCAGGTGCAAAGTGTGCTTGATTTGTAAAATGCAAAAAAATGGAGCCTAAAACCCTTGACCATTGACGAGTTGAACTGCATGCTGTGTGGAAAAGGCTGCAGGCGATCGTGATGACTATGATTTTCATGATGGCAGTGGTTCTGGTGGTGGTGGGGATAAAATGTTTATTGAAGAATGATGTCTATCTAGTAACCATGGAAATGTACATAGTGATGCTCATTGCTATCCCAGCATCCAAGTTGTGTTGAGGAGTCAAATTTTAGCAGAAACAGATCCTGCAGGGTGGTGCCCCCAGTTATAAGTTGGTAAGGTCCTCGCTTTGGAACGCGCCGAAACGCATCGTTATAAGTTGGTTTATAATGCTCAACTATATATAGATATAGCCATAGCATGATATAGCCCCCGTAAACCCTATTGGAGTTGTAAACTAACTTAGCTAACAAACTCACTGGGGCACCTTGTGGGAAGCTTTGCAGAAAAACTTTTGATTTTCCTCAACACATCCACCACAGCGTCAGCCATTCGCCAGGAGTCCATGCCTCAGATGGAGCTTCAAATCAAGGCCAGCGGTGAATGTTTAAGCCACTTGGGGGAGTTTTAACATCTTCATTTGCCCCATTTCCCTCTGTATGTGAGGTGTTTGAGAGCAAATTTTGAACGTGTGAACGATTTCTGTAGTTAGCATTATTAGTTGGGCAGAACCTTACAGAGGCTTGTACATTGTTGTACTACCTGGCTTGATGGGGAGTAGGATGTGCCGGGACCCCTATAGTGTGGCAACGCCATCTTTTAGGAAGTGGAAGTAGATGGTGACTCCATCCACAAGTGTTTTTATGCTTGGGTGTAACGCATTGTAAATTGTAAAGCCATACTCTTTCTGGTGGTTTCTTCTGTATGTATATAATATATATAATATATATAATATATATATAATATATAATATATATATAATATATATATATATATTATAGTTATATTTATAATTATTTCTATATGCACACAACGTTCCATTCCTGAAGATGGTATCATGTCTTCCCAGCAAACTTATGTGTATAATATACATGTATATATACATATATCTTTTGAATGTGTGCCAGCACATTGGACTATAATGCAGCGCGCTGGTGAATCCTAATCTCTTGTAAATATTTTATTTCTCCCATTCAGTGGCCATAAATTGCATGTAAAGCGGATATTTGTGGACATATCCATGCACTTGTTAGTATATTATAGATGTTAGTATAATATATCCCCAATGTAGGCATCCCAATAATAAGCCACCCGTTTTTTTAATCGAGGAACCAGGTCTTGCAACAAGGGAAATAGACAGGAAAGGAAAAGGAACAGGGAAAAACTGAACCTAGGAAGGTTTACTCTTGCGTGTCCTTGGGAGGATGTTTTTACTTGCAAAAAAAACTTGAACTACTTGCCATGGCTTGCAAGCGCAATTGAAAAGGAAGTGAAAAGGACATGGAACAAGACGAAAAGCTGAATCCCAGAAAAGTTGGATTTACTATTGCATGTCCTTGTGAGGAGGTTTACTATTGAATATACTGTGGTGTATTGTTGAAGTGGTCATTCTTGGGACTGGATATTTTTTGTATTGCCGAAAGAACTGGCCAATTGAAAATTAGTATTGCCCGAGAAACAGAGGGGTCAACAATAATTGTTGCTATTGCATATACTTGTGATATAAGCAATAATAAAACATGTGCATTTTCGGGCTATGTGAATGCGACAGTATTGGCTAGGTCTAAACAAATAGTATTGCCCAAAAAAATCAGATGTTTTGTGATTTTTATGTCGCTATTGTGTATGCCAACTATCATTGGGTTGCCAACATTGTATCCAACTATCTCCCCTTGGTGATTCAATCCCAGAATTTGGGATAACCCCGGGTTGTAACCCATATTTACACACCCATATTTGGAGCATCTTCCAGTAAATTAACATATATAGATATGGTTTCTACCCACCATTTGTAGATCAGTTTCCTTGGGAAAGCATGGGTAAAAACCATATCTATGTTGATTTACTGGAGGGTAAATGGGATTGTCATTCCCTAAATTATTGGATGTATATATACACATATTCCTTGACATGAGGTAGCCAATCTAGGGGGTGCCATTTAGCCAGCACTGCTCATTTATCCGTTGATACTTATTGGGTTTACCACCCAGTAATTTAACCGAGCTATTGAACATCACCATGTTGAAAAACGGCAAATCATCGAACTAAAGGGGCCATTTATACCACTTCGCAAACTTTTATTAATGTCTAGAGGATAACAAGTCTTACTATCCCAAAAAAGTACTGGGATATACAGTAACCATGGGATACAACCATGATGTGTTAAGTGATATATGATGTTATATGGTTATCTCATTATTTCCAGTAGAGTGATATGCCGCAATGCCCATTATACATCTATTTATCTGGGCAAACAACGACCGAGCCCTGTTCTCCCTCACTGGGATGATGCTTAGGATTGGGGGAATCGTCCAAGTAAGAAGCCTTATTTCAGGTTAGTGAACTATTTTTAAATAGACCCCTATATATAATATTATTAAACACCCCCTTTCAAAGAGGTCCCAATTCTATGGTTTCATCCCTTACACCCACCATGGTTTCACAGGGGGTGCTTTTTTTGTGAACGGGGAGGTATTTTTCACACCCAAATCAATCCAAATCTCAGATCGTTGGCTGGTTGCATCCCCATCTACACCCATTACAAAGTAGGGCCAGTCCCCGGTTCTCGTCCATTGAAGAAAATTCATGGCTATTTTCCATCCAAAAAAAAATCACTCCAGCGAATTATGGTGAGGTTTTTCCCATGGGTACCCCTTCTGACGATGCCCCATGACCATATGGGTATGGAGCAATACCTATTAATTAATACCATTTTTAGTGGGATGAACATCCATTTACCAGCTATTTTGGGGTTCACTAGGTACCAGGGTTTTGACCCATCCCCATAACCCCATGACTATGGAAATCCTCTGTGGATCTCAGTGGATGTTCAAAAGACCTGGGCGGCAGGTCCGGGCGCAGCCGTCAGGATGGTCTTTTGGAGGGCAGGCTGGGGAGCTGATGACCTAGCATTGAGCATGGGCAGCCATGAAGAAACCATGAAATAATGGGATATAACTAGTGATTTCATGGGAATATTTAATGGGATATACCAGTAGTACCGCACAATATACCGGTGGCGGAAGTTTCAAGGATAGGACACATTTTTGGAGAGGTGAGTTGTTGTGATGCATGGATGGCAGAGCGAATCCATTGATGGACCGAAAGCTGGTTGGAGTTGTACTTTTTGGAGTGGTTGCAATGGCTGCAGTGGTCACCTCACTCACAACTCCTGGATGTAGTGTGATTTAGTGCAGTAGTTGTAGTTGTAGTGTAGTGTCGTGGTAATTGTTGCTCTGCTAATGTAGTTGTAGTTGAAGTGTAGCTGTAGTGTAGCTGAAGTTGTAGTTGTAGTTGTAGTTGCAGCTGCAGTTGCAGTTGCAGCTGTAGTGTAGTTGCAGTAGTTGTTGCAGTTGTAGTTCTAGTTGCGGTTGTAGTTGTAGTGGCACTTGTAATTGTAGTTGTAGTAATTGTAGCTAAGGTTGTAGTTGTAGCTGAAGTGTAGTTGTAGCTGTAGTTCTTGTAGTTGAGGTGTAGTTGAAGTTGTAGTTGTAGTAGTGGTGGTGTAGTTGTAGTTGTAGTTACTAGTTGTAGTGTGGTGTAGTGCAGTTGCAGTTGTCTGTCTATCTATCTATCTATCTATCGATCTATCAATCTATCTATCTATCCATCGATCTATCGATCTATCGATCTATCGATCTATCTATCTACCTATCTATCGATCTATCGATCTATCGATCTATCGATCTATCGATCTATCGATCTATCTATCTATCTATCTATCTACCTTATCTATCTAATCTATCTATCTATCTATCTATCTATCTATCTATCTATCTATCTATCTATCTATCTATCTATCTATCTTATCGATCTATCGATCTATCGATCTATCGATCTATCGATCTATCGATCTATCGATCTATCGATCGATCTATCGATCTATCTATCTATCTATCTATCTATCTTATCTATCTTATCTATCTTATCTATCTTATCTATCTTATCTATCTTATCCATCTTATCTATCTTATCTATCTTATCTATCTTATCTATCTTATCTATCTTATCTATCTTATCTATCTTATCTATCTTATCTATCTTATCTATCTTATCTATCTGATCTATCTGATCTATCTTATCTATCTTATCTATCTTATCTATCTTATCTATCTTATCTATCTTATCTAACTTATCTATCTTATCTATCTTATCTATCTTATCTATCTTATCTATCGAATCTATCTTATCTATCTTATCTATCTTATCTATCTTATCTATCTAATCTATCTATCCAATCTATCTATCTAATCTAATCTAATCTAATCTAACCTAATCTAATCTAATCTAATCTAATCTATCTATCTATCTAATCTATCTATCTTATATATCTATCTAATCTATCTATCTATGTAAATCTAATCTTAATCTAATCTAATCTAATCTAATCTCATCTATCTAACAAACTAACAAACTAACTAACTAGCTAACGAACTAACCTAACCTAACTTAATCTAACCTAACCTAACTTAACCTAACCTAACCTAACCTAACCTAACCAACCTAACCTAACCTAAGCCAACCTACTAGCTAACTGACTGACTGACTGACTGACTGACTGACTAACTAACTAACCTAACTAACCAACTAACCAACTAACCAACTAACCAACTAACCAACTAACCAATCTATCTATCTATCCATCCAATCTAATCTAATCCAATCCAATCTAAGCTAATCTAATCTAATCTAAACTAATCAAATCTATCTATCTATTTTTTTGTCTATCTATCATTCTATCATCCTATCATCCTATCATTCTATCTATCATGTATCCAATATATATATATCATTAATCTTATCTAATCTGATCTAATCTTACCTTAATCTTATCTTAATCTAATCTAATCTAACTAATCTAAATCTTTGTTTAAGTTTAAGTCTCATCTAATCCAACCTAAATCCAATCCAATCTAGTCTAATCTAATCTAAATCTTATTTTACCTTATCTTATCTATCTACCTATCTATACTCCATACTAAACCCGAGTTTCTGGAAAGGTGTTGATCAATGCTTATCACGACTACGTGGGGGAAGCGATGGCATGTTTTCGCAGCGGCTTCCAAGTTCGGTATACGCTGGGTACGGCCCATGGAAATTTAATGAAGGTTGAGTGAGCAAACATGGGAATCAAACGATAAGGAAACCCACAGGCATTGGAAAATGCGGATTCCACTTATCTACGGAAGAAGAATCCTTGAGTCTCAAGTACTTCGATAGAGTAGTCCTCAAATCTCACACATATATCACATATCATATGTACACATCAGGGTTTTCTTCTCTACGCATCTTCTTATTTTTTGAATTCCTGCTGCACGTTGGACCTTCCAGGAATCCTCAGCTCCCACGTGGTGGAAGTGTCCTTGGCGGCGGAGAGCAGTGGCACGGTGGTGGTGGCGCAGGTGGAGGGCCTCGAAATGCCAATCTTTTTCAGGATTCGACGCCAGGCACTGATTGAGTGATGGCTTCCAAGGGACAAAGGAATCCCATGGAATCCCCAACAGCCTGGTTGAGTATTGGCTATTGGAATCATACAGCAGCTTTGACCATGAATGGTTCATTCCAATGGTTCCAACATGTTCCAAATTTTCAAGTGATGATCGCAACCAAAAGGCCTTGGGTTGCTCGACGCTTCTTGTTTACATACGGATATTTGCCTTCCGTCCAAGGAGAGAGTGATGCTATCGAGGGTGATGCGTGCGTCTTCTACGACCCCAATCTAGGTGTGTGGTCCTCTGCTTCTTGGTGTCGGATTGGAAGCAGCAAAGCTGCAAATGCAAAGGATTGCAAGTTGTTCCGAATGTCATCCGGGAGGTTGTTCAATTCCATTCTCAGGATGTCCCCAAACACATATCCCAATTATCCCAGGATTGCTCCCATGGCAGACCGGGCAGATGACCGGTCCCATAGTCATTCCAATCGCTGCCCCAAGGAGGGTATTTCACTGGCTCAGTCGGTGCCGGGCCAAAACGCCACAGGGACCTGGTGCCAAACGAGGCACCTGTCCCTCTTTGCTGTGCCTGGACAAATCTAACTCCGTCAGGGGAATTGGGGAGCCCTCGGAGCTAATATGTAGTGATCATTGGGTGAGGATATGATAGGTAGATATAGGCAGTCTAGTCATATAGTACTATTTGATATCTATAGGACCATAGGATATTAAATGATATTAATTACCTGGTAGATAGAATATTACTAGGTCCTAGGTAATTGGGTGATTAGTACATGAGCTACGGTCAAAATATGTCAAAATTCTGGTAGGCCACTTAAGGAGTGCCCTCTTGTCTGGAAAGTGCACCAAACCACTATATAGCGATAGGGCCCTCCCCAAGACAATAGCTACAATTGTCCATAATCTCCACATCTGAAGCAGTTTTTTGCACAACGTTGCGTGCATGCAAGAGGTGAAATTAGCGATGCCCCTGGCGATACCTTAGCGATATGGATTAGATAGACTCAGATAGACCCTTTCCCCCACTCCACCAAAGATGCGGTGGAACATGTTTGAAAGCTTGGGTCTTTGAACATACATCATTATTCCATGTGATCTCCCAAAAACTATTAAATTACTGTAAACCAGTCTTGGTTGATGGTTTCCCCAGCCTGATAATGGTGTGGACACAATGGCTTCTTGGTGAATCTCCTTTTTGCATCTTTTTGTTTTTTTTTGGCTGTATCCGCAAGCATACCCCTAGCCCGATCATACGTGTATTGCTGTATGGTAAGATTTACCAACATATTTATACCAACACAGCGCGGCGTTTTGAACCGTTCAACTCCCCATTGGCGTTGATGAGCATTTCCTTTTTTGCAGCGCTAAAGATCCCCACAGATACCATATCATATATCCCATATATATCTCATATATATCCCAAGAAATTGATGGGTACATGATATGCCATGGATGGTGTGGGCAATTATGGCATGTTCAAGGGCACCAATGAGTTGGTACCAAACACGGGGACCGAGTTATCACCAAGAAAATTGGCTTTTACCGAAAAGGCGCTTTTGTCTTAGCAAGAAAAACTCCAATTTGAGCTGAAGAAGACTTGGAATTTCATCATGAAATGTCGGACTTATATTGAGAAAAGGATGGTTTTACTGGGTTTCACTTAGGAAGATATAACATCCCCCCCAAAAAACCCATTTTAGTGGCTTCCACTTGGATTCCTTGGATCCCACTTAGTCGGCCCCAGGTGATGCAGACCATCGACCTAGCTGGTCTCCTCCCAGATGGCTCTGAAACTGGCGAAGGTGCCGGGGCAATTGCTGTGGCCACTGGGACGAACAGGGCTTGGGACCGCGGCCCGGTAGGCCCGGTAGGCCCGGTAGGCCCGGTAAGTGGTGCCCATTGGAGCCCTATTTTTCGCTAAGTTGGTGAACATAACTCCGATTTCACTTGAAAGTGTATGGTAATATAGGGATATATCTAGAGATATCACTATAGTTAAATGGGGATTATAAACCAAGTTATCACTGGGGGACACCGCCCCGTGCGGGCCTTTCCAACATTGATCTTCCTATTTACAAATATACAATGCTGGCCTATCCACGCCAAAGCAGCCCAAGATTGAACGTGATTGCAGTGATTGAACTAGGAAACTGTGGTGAACACAATCAGATACAATCAGTTAAACTAGCCCGGCTGTAACCACTATCAGAACTAACTATCCTAGCCCTAGCTCATCCAAATTGGTCTACCGTGGGTAGCTTGCAAATCTTGCACCTTCCATGGCATGGTGACTTGGGTTTGTCCATGCTGGCAGTTTCAATGTGGGAAATGTTGAGAAACCACTGGATTTTGGGGGTATAGCAATGCCCAGTTGGTCACATCTGAATCAAAAATACTGATGACTCCAGTGATGACTTGAACATCTTTAAATTAACTTAAATGGGGGTATTTAAATGAAATACATTTAAATACGCTATAATCATATATAATCATATATAATCATATACTATCATATGCTCCTTTTTCAGAGAAACACAGCTGTTTTCCGAGGCCAGCCTCATCTTTTGTTGTTGTGGCCTGCTGGTGACCTCCATCCTGGTGAAGCGTCGCCTGCAGCGCCCGGTGAAAGGACAAGCCCTCATTCGAGACCGACGAGGCTTGGGAAGGGTTGACTGTTGGTAAACGTTTATAGAACTATAGAACTATTATAGAATATGGCCCATTTATAGGTTTACATAGGTTTACCTGTATTGAAATAGTGATTTTCCATAGCTATGTTCGTTTACCAGAGGGTGTTGAGAGAGATTGGACACAAAATGCCGATTGCAGCAACCACAGAGGTCCAGAAAAAATTGGGATTGATTATGGATATGGATATATGATATATATATATATGTATGTAAATCCAACAGCAGTGATGAGGGGAAATAGGGTTGTCCACATACCCACAAAAAAGACAATTTTAGGTTAAGACCGTAACAAATAGGTGCAGATAGTCATCAGATACCATTCGGATCTATTTGGCTACTATAGACGCATACATTTGAATTTTAAGGAATAAACTAACACATGTCACATGTCACTATAACAACATAATCAACCTTAGCCCAGAAAAATCTTACCGCTTGTGGTCAGCCTTGGTGGATGCTGATCAGGCGGAACTCGCAAGTTCGACTTCACACGCAGCAGGTTGATGACCCCGGTTGAGAGCGCTGTGAGTGCACTGGGCAGCACTTTGGGGTACAAGCTTGACTTTTCCCCTTGGAACAATGTTCGGGTGGGCCCCCTCCCTTTTGAATCTTGGTAAATAAACGGGCACCGGAACATAGAAGATGATATGTTCAGTACTTCTAAACAAATTGCCTGACTCAAAACGAATACATGTGGGTAAAAGAACGAGTTGCCTAATTGGATATAACAATTGCTGAACAAATTTCCCAATTGAAAACGACTACACGTGTAGGAAGAAAATGAGTTACCTAGTTCAACGCAAGTCTTGCTGAACAAATCCCCTAAGTGAAAACCAATTTATGTGTGTAAAAGAAACCAGCAGTTGCCTGTATGATTGAAAACGCATACAGGTGTGTAAAGAAAATGCATTGGACATGGGATAAGTCTTGCTGAACAAATTAAATTGCCCAATTGAAAACAAATGTATTTGTGTCAAAACCGAATTGCCTAATTGGACCAAATGCTTAGTTTAAAACAAATACTGTACATGTGCATTGCTTAATTGAAAGCAAGATTGCTTAACAAATTGCCTAATTAAAAACACACACACACACATGTCACATATATATATATATATGTATCAAACATGGATTTGCCTAACTAAAAGCAAGTATTGCTGAAGAAATCGTTTAATTGAACATGAATACATGTTCGCTGCAACCCTGACGTTGCTCCGCGTCTGACTTCAGGTGGCCATGAAGATAAAGTTGATGTTATTACCCCAATCAACAAATTGTTCATAGGGGGTGGTGATTTTTTTGATATCTTATGAAGATAAAGTTGATGTTATTACGCCAACTAACATATTGTTCATAGGGGGTGACGAATTTTAATCCCTCATGAAGATAAGTTGATGTTTTTACCCCAACCAACATATTGCTCATAGGGGGTGTCGAAATTTAATCCCTCATGGAGATATAGTTGATGTTATTACCCCAATCAACATATTGCTCATAGGGGGTGGCGAATTTTGATCCCTCATGGAGATATAGTTGATGTTATTACCCCAATCAACATATTGTTCAGAGGGGGTGGCGAATTTTGACCCCTCATGAAGATAAAGACGATAATTATGATGATAGGGATGATGATGATGATGATGATGATGATCATGACGTTTGTAAGTGTGGAGCAACGTCCGGGTTGGGGCGTACATGTTTATATAAAGATGGTTGATATTTTTTCTTTTGAACTGATTTGATGTTCCTGCTTTCAGCTTACAGGTGCTTGAAGGTTTAAGAAAGGGTTTGAGAAAGGGGTTAAAAAGTGAAATGGGAGCAGAGGTGAGAATACTCCCCCCAAAAAAGCTTTTGGCTGAGGGGATAAAGTGTTTGTTGACTATATAAAGGGATTCAATTATTTTTTGCAGCCTGGTACTCTGAGTGCCGCGCGCGAAACTCAGCAGGACATTTCAAGTGAATTAAACAGCGAAAGCGGGTATGGATCTCATGTGAGAAAAAGGAATCTTAACACGATGGCATGACGCACCGGGATGTGGCCTAGAGGATGAAGAGGTACGTACACAGCTGAAGAGAAGAGTGAACACACGATAAGATGACAATATGCATGCACACTGGTTGAAAGAAACTGAGGAAACTGCTGAGTTTTCCAAAATCTAAACTTCGCAGGTTTAATTAAACACTAAAGATATTGAGAGAAATTACCGTAGCAAAATCTCCGAAAAAAGCTGAGTTTGAAGATTTTGGCGATCATCCCATTCAGGGCAGATGCACAGAGGTCGGTTCCAAGAAAAAAAAGGTAAATTTCAACATTTTGCCTTTGGTCATTGACTAGTTAAGCCGCCAAATCCTCAACCATGTACACACACACAGATATATATATATATTATACACACACACACACTCCTAATTACGAAAGCCAGCCGGGAAGCTGGCTAGTTGCTATTTGCGAATGAAGTGAGAATAGGGGGTCTGGGGGGGGCGGCCGCTAGTATGGTTTTGCAGGGTACTGTACCTGGCGGCAAATCGATTCCCCCTAGGTCCGGTTTTCTGGGGGTTTCTGGGCTCAGTCAATGGACAGAAAGATGGGCCAGCTAGTTAGAGGAGATTGGAGAGAGAAGGACATTGGGTGAAAAGTATGTGCAAGAAGGGTTTCTGGGTGAAGAGTCTCTGGGTGAAAAGTATATGGGTGAAAAGTCTGTGCAAGAAGAGTTTCTGGGTGAAGAGTCTCTGGGTGAAGAGTCTATGCGAGAAGAGTTTCTGGGTGAAGAGTCTCTGGGTGAAAAGTATATGGGTGAAAAGTATGTGCAAGAAGAGTTTCTGGGTGAAGAGTTTCTGGGTGAAAAGTATGTGCAAGAAAGTCTCTGGGTGAAGCGTCTCTGGGTGAAAAGTATATGAGGCAAAAGTATGTGCCAGAAGAGTTTCTTGGTGAAGAGTCTCGGGGTGAAAAGAATATGGGTGAAAACTATGTGCAAGAAGAGTTTCTGGGTAAAGAGTCTCTGGGTGAAGAGTCTGTGCAAGAAGAGTTTCTGGGTGAAGAGTCTCTGGGTGAAAACTATGTACAAGAAGAGTTTCTGGATGAAGAGTCTCTGGATGAAAAGTATCGGGTGAAAAGTATATGGTTGGAAAATATGTGCAAGAAGAGTTTCTGGGTGAAGAGTCTCTGGATGAAAAGTTTCGGGTGAAAAGTATATGGTTGGAAAATATGTGCAAGAAGAGTTTCTGGGCGAAGAGTCTCTGTGAAAAGTATATGGATGAAACATATGTGCAAGAAGAGTTTCTGGGTGAAGAGTCTCGGGGTGAAAAGTATATGGGTGAAAAGTATGTGCAAGAAGAGTTTCTGGGTGAGGAGTCTCTGGGTGGAACGTATATGGGTGAAAAGTATGTGCAAGAAGAGTTTCTTGGTGAAGAGTCTCTGGGTGAAAAGTATGTGGGTGAAAAGTATTTGCAAGAAGAGTTTCTGGGTGAAGAGTCTCTGGGTGAAAAGTGTATGGGTGAAAAGTATGTGCAAGAAGAGTTTCTGGGTGAAGAGCCTCTGGGTGGAACGTATATGGGTGAAAAGTATGTGCAAGAAGAGTTTCTTGGTGAAAAGTCTCTGGGTGAAAAGTATGTGGGTGAAAAGTATTTGCAAGAAGAGTTTCTGGGTGAAGAGTCTCTGGGTGAAAAGTATATCGGTGAAAAATTAGTGCAAGAAGAGTTTCTGGGTGAAGAGTCTCGGGGTGAAAAGTATATTGGTGAAAAGTATGTGCAAGATGAATTTCTGGGTGAAGAGTCTCTGGGTGAAAAGTATATGGTTGAAAAGTTTGTGCAAGAAGAGTTTCTGGGTGAAGAGTCTCTGGATGAAAAGTATATGGGTGAAAAGTATGTGCAAGATGAGTTTCTGGGTGAAGAGTCTCTGGGTGAAAAGTATATTGGTGAAAAGTCTGTGCAAGAAGAGTTTCTGGATGAAGAGTCTATGGCTGAAAAGTATATTAGCGAAAAGTATGTGCAAGAAGAGTTCCTGGGTGAAGAGTCTGTGGGTGAAAAGTATATGGGTGAAAAGTATGTGCAAGAAGAGTTTCTGGGTGAAGAGCCTCTAGACTCTAGATGAAAAGTATATGGGTGAAAAGCATGTGCAAGAAGAGTTTCTAGGTAAAGAGACTCTGGGTGAAAGGGGTATTGGTGAAAAGTATGTGCCAGAAGAGTTTCTGGGTGAAGAATCTCTGGGTGAAAAGTATATGGGTGAAAAGTATGTGCAAGAAGAGTTTCTGGGTGAAGAGTCTCTGGGTGAAAATTCTATGCAAGAAAAGTTTCTGGGTGAAGAGTCTCTGGGTGAAAAGTATGTGGGTGTGAAAAGTATGTGAAAGAAAAGTGTATGGGTGAAAAGTATGTGCAAGAAGAGTTTCTGGGTGAAGAGTCTGGGTGAAAAGTATATGGGGGAACAGTATGTGCAAGAAGAGTTTCTGGGTGAAGAGTTTCTGGGTGAAAAGTATGTGCATGAAGGGTTTCTGGGTGAAGAGTCTCTGGGTGAAAAATGTATGGGTGAAAAGTATGTGCAAGAAGAGTTTCTTGGTGAAGAGTCTATGGGTGAAAATATGTGGGTAAAAAGTATTTGTAAGAAGAGTTTCTGGGTGAAGAGTCTCTGGGTGAAAAGTATATTATATTGGTGAAAAGTATGTGAAAGAAGAGTTTCTGGGTGAAAAGTATGTGCAAGAAGAGTTTCTGGGTGAAGAGTCTCTGGGTGAAAAACATATGGATGAACAGTATGTGCAAGAAGAGTTTCTGGGTGAAGAGTCTCGGGGTGAAAAGTATGTGCAAGAAGGGTTTCTGGGTGAAGAGTCTCTCGGTGAAACGTATATTGGTGAAAAGTATGTGCAAGAAGAGTTTCTTGGTGAAGAGTCTATGGGTGAAAAGTTTATGGGTGAAAAGTATTTGTAAGAAGGGTTTCTGGGTGAAGAGTCTCTGGGTGAAAAGTATATTGGTGAAAAGTATGTGCAAGAAGAGTTTCTGGGTGAAGAGTCTCTGGGTGAAAAGTATATGGTTGAAAAGTATGTGCAAGAGTCTCGGGGTGAAAAGTATACTGTATGTGTGAAAAGTATGTGCAAGAAGAGTTTCTGGGTGAAGAGTCTCTGGGTGAAGAGTATGTGGGTGAAATGTCTGTGCAAGAAGAGTTCCTGGGTGAAGAGTCTGTGGGTGAAAAGTATATGGGTGAAAAGTATGTGCAAGAAGAGTTTCTGGGTGAAGAGTCTCTGGGTGAAAAGTATATGAGTGAAGAGTATGTGCAAGAAGAGTTTCTGGGTGAGGAGTCTATGGGTGAAAATATGTGGGTGAAAAGTATGTGCAAGAAGAGTTTCTGGGTGAAGAGTCTCTGGGTGAAAAGTATATGGGCGAAAAGTATGTGCAAGAAGGGTTTCTGCCTGAAGAGTCTCTGGGTGAAAAATATAGGGGAACATAGGGATAGATGGGATGCTGGCTTTCGTTCCCCCCTTCTCAGGTCTAAAGTTTCCCCTGGCCACATCTTCACTGACCACATCTCCAGAAAACCCTACCTCCCAACAAAACACAGAACAAAGGATCTAACCATATCTAACCCCAAAAAAAACAGAAATCCCCACCAAAGTTGGCATGCTTTCTTCATGGGAGGGGCTTATTGCCGCCGGTGACGGTGGCTCACATCACTCAACGCAGGTTTACTAATCCCACGTTGACATTAGATGCGGAAAAAGTGACCATTTTCACAACTGTATGCTTTGGCTGGACCGCACGAGGGTTCACTGCAGTTTGGAGCTTTGGAGTTTTTTTGCGTCAGAAAAAAGGCGTCAGCATGCGTCGGCTAAAACCCTGCAACCTGTAGGTGTCCGGACATCTGGGCGCAAAAAACCGCAAAAGATCTTGGTGAAGTGGCATTTGAACCCGGACTCTGTGGTCAAGCAGATCAATCGCTTTGATGGGCTCCGCAACTGGGCGTTGATGCGGTTGATTGTTGGACCTGGGCTTATTCCTTGTGATTATTGAAGCACATATAATCCATTATAGCTTATAGTCATGATCGATTGTGGAAATATGTTTTTACTTGTTTGGATTTGGCTCAATATGGCTCAATTCTTCAAGGTACATCAGTACATCATTGCAATCATTTATACAACAAAATACAGAACATCAAAGCCAAATTGCCATAATACAATATAGTAACATGTATAGTATCTATATAATTCATTTATAATTCTATATCTATAGTTTACAGAGCTTTTTTCAGTCATTGGATGCCATTGGAAAGTCCAAAAAAGAAGCTCCGGCAACGGGTCGATTCGGGTCGTTGCGAGCAGGTCGTTTCCAGGTGGACTTGGAACCAGCCAAGCCGCCGGTGGTCCAGGAGACTTCGGTCTTCGCCACCAAATCGACCAAATCCCTGCGGACGCTCTCAGTGCCTTGGGTGATGCCAGGGCGCGGAGAGAGACCACGAAACATGGGCCATGGATATGTATATATAATATATATAATTAAATATGTATACATAGTATGATGGATTATATATAATGGTGTATATATATATATATGCTTGTATGTGTGTGCGTGCCTAGTTGTAACCAGCAAAAAGTATGTGGATGTTATAGGGATATAATATGATATAATCAACCATATGGACTTGATTTGTTGGTCATTGAGCAGTGGCTGCTAAAGTCCTTTTGATTGATGATTAGATCGGGGAACATGACAATCCATGAGCTGGGAATCCTATTCAAACGTTGCTTAAGCTGATTATGCCAGAGGTATGCATGGGACATGTATATATAGGCCTAGCTATGTCTACGTAATGTATTATAGCTCGTCAATGATGTTGATAATGATAATGATAATGATATATCCTGATCATGATGAAGATTGAAATCAAGACATGGTACATGTACATGATTAAATAAATCTAGTATATAGTTCTCCGTGAACTTACGATGCTCAGTGTATCTCAGTATAATTACCATACAGTAGTATATTTGGAGAGAGAGAGAGAGATTTAGTATACTTGTTACGCTACGTTCATCTACTATCATGGACTTGCCATATTTATATTATACATACAAACTATGCCCTTGGACTCAGGAAGTCCTCCCAAAGGAGTTGCACGATGAGCCGGATGAGCCAGATGAGCCGGATGAGCCGGATCAGCCGGTTCCGACGGAGCAGCGCGATGAGTATGTCATGGACAGCATGGTCACTGGGGGTGACCAGATGCCGCCGGCGGAGATTTTGCAGAAGTTCTTTGGACACAAATTGGAAGAAAATGCGGGCGATCTGGGAGATATGTTAAGGTTTTTAAATGTTTTTAAGGGATGATGGTGGGATATTTAGCTAGTTAGGGTGAAGCAGTAGTGTTGCGGAAGCATAGGGTGTTCGACTACTTCATGTGTATGTTGGTCAAGTATGGTCAAGCTGCACGAAAGCACTGCTGTGCTGCTAATTGCTCGGTGTGGAGTTTGGTATGTTGATTGTATCCCCCACAACATTGTATGATATTGTATGCTACCATAGTGTATTATATCATATATATGTATCACATTATGGAGCTATGTATTTTTTGGTTGTTGGGTTGGTCTCCAACAGAAACGCCCCACAACGTTTTTGTTTGGCGATAGCCACCTCATAATGATTCACAGTGGTTATGGGACGTTTGCCTTTGACATGAATTTATTCTTTACTAATTTACGAAGTGTTTTACACAATCAGATAAATTGGACCCCATACGAGCTGTGGGATGTCAGAACCAGTGACGGAGCTTACAGGTAGGTTACTCTATCTTCATATATTTTCATTTAGCTAGTAGTTCGGCTCTTTACAAAAATGAAGGAAACTTAATGAACATCGAAACACATTCGTTTACCCATAGCTGGTTGGAGATGCAATCGGGACGCCTATGGCAAGGTTGTCTCCCATTGAAGCTGCGAAAGCGGATCGCAAAGCGGATCGCGAAGCCTATGAGAATGGCCAGGCCGGGAGGCATCGTTTTCCACGCTGGGCTTGGATGGAGCCACTAGATACAGCAGTTTGACAGAATGACTGCCTGTCAAGGAAGTTCTCTACCACTCAGAGACCTTTGGTCGCGTTCTCCCAGCAGTGACATGGCTTTGCTCCGTGGTATTCCAGGGTAGCCGTGTGCATCAATTCCAGCTGACAGGTGGATTTTTATCCCATTTTTTTTGGCATCAACTGCATCAACTGCATCAACCTGAGGCCATTGTTGGGCGTGGATATTTCTACACCGATGGCGAGGAGGACATCTATCTACACTGCTCTTAAACATGGCATGTAGATAAGTATAATCCACAAAAGTTGTGGACTGATAGCGCCCTTCTGGTCACAGAGTTCATCTGTCTATTCTCAAAAGCATCATAAAGAAATCTTGCTGATTCAAATATGTTCAAACTTGTGAGGGTTCGGTTTTGTCGCTTCGTATCATATCAAGTAAGTGCAGAAGAATTAGGTACTGTGCAAGTAGATCTTGGACCACATCACTTCCTGCCTCATCACATATTCATATATATTCAAAGGGTATTGAAGATAAACTATGCTGAGTCGGATGGCGCGGTAGCAAGATTTCAGGTTCCTTAGCAGTCATTTTTAGGAGTCTCAGTGGCGCAGGCATCCAATTTCTTTGGGGCTTCTGGGTCCAAAGGGAAGCAGGACATACCAGGACCTTGGCTTACTGGAGTTTTTCTTGATGCAGGAGGAACTAGCGTGGCCGTTGTACAACTGCAAGGCGCGCATGCACCATGTTCAAAGCGCCCATTTTTTGGGCTGGTTCAAGCTTGGGGCTGGTTCAAGTGCACATGATTTTCTTCCACGGTGGTTTCCGTTGCTATGCTTGGTTGCTAGAGGGTACCGCTTTTCGGCTATTTTTCCAACTGGGGATCGCAACACCACCGTCTTGTGGGGAAATCTATTTGTTTTTTTTTTTGCGACGCTGCCGATGCTTGAAACTACTTGAAACCCAATGACATCCACCGCGCAGGTGGGTGTCAAGTTACGCGAGATGGTTCCAATGTCAAGGCTTCGGGCTCCGTTAGATGAGGGCGCGGTGGTGAGTGTGATGGGCGCGCCTTGGCCGCTGTCATGATGGCTGATCACGTATAATCAATGATAATCATGTCATATCATGTCTATAACCCCCAAAAAGAATCAATATGGAAATGCAATCTATAATATCTATAATCTATCGGTATCAATAGCTATTAATATCTATCAATATCTATTAATATCAATCTCTATCACTATTTGGAAGGATGTTTGTGACTTTTCTATCTTGTTCTGGGCTGCTGCGATGTCATAATGATTGCTTGTCATGTGATTTCATGGTTTTGGGATGTGTTGGACGCCAGCTTTTTCGGTCGTTCGATCCACTTCATGGAAATTTACTTCGACATTTCCCGCAAGACTCTGCGCATGAATAATAATGTATGTGTATTGTATACTATTCATTTTATGCATATAATATATGAATTATATATATAGGTGTATATATATATGCGTGTGTGTGTGTATTATATGGAATGCACTCAATAGAACGCTGTGGACACTTTGTAGTCATTCCCCATCTGCCCAGGAGGAGCAATCGGATGGCACGAGAGCCTGGACCACTGGGCATATTCTCGATGCATCTGCCTGGAAAATGACTCACCTGGTGTCATATCCCACCTATGACATCCTCCTGAGTGATGGCACGAAATGCAAGGCCTCCTTTGATAAGATCCGAAGGCGTTTTGATGTGGGCCAGCTGGTGGAAGTCTATATGGGTCGTACCTTCGGTTGGGTCTACGGAACTGCGGCTGAAGAGTTGGTGGAAACCTGGGGCTCCGACACTGAGGAGCTGCAGACCCTGCAGGTCGTCCTGGTTCGTGATGCATTGGCGGCCACCGTGCCCTCATTTTTGGTACGCAGCCGTCCGGCCATTACAGCCAGGATTTGAGAACCTAGAATCATCTAGAATCATCTAGAATCATCTAGAATCATCTAGAATCATCTTCAATCATCTAGAATCATCTAGAATCATCTAGAATCCATAAACAAAAATCCCAACGCTTCCAATATCAGGTCCATATTTATACAGTATATCATAAATAGTTCATATAATATACATGTTCGATTCAATATTTTTGTTAAAGGATTGTCCCATTTTCTTTTGAGTCAGCTTGTGCCCAACAAAAATGATAAATGACACTGTGATGTGGATGCTCTGGGTCCTCTGGGTCGGCTCTTTTTGGAAAGTTGACTTGGCACAGCCCAGTGGTAGAACTGCACAAGCCGCTAAGTCAGGCTTAGTGCTGCACCTAGTGACATTCTGTGCCAGGATTTGGACGGAAATCACCCGCCTAAGGCGGAGCGGATGAACGTCGATAGCTATGCCTTTGGCAATCAAACACTGGGAAATCATGGAAAACCATGGAAAACCATGGAAAACCTGAACTGTAATGAACAACTTAGGAAATCAATGGCAACAATTGAGTAACACGGATGACTTTTCGGCCAGTTACATAGATTACCAGAGGCAGTTCACACATGTTTGAGTTTGAATGAGCAGCGGCTCAGCAGGGGCATTTGATGCAGGGTATCACTATTTAGAGACTATAGACTATATAGATCTATATAGATGTTTGATGATGTTTGAATTCTGGCATTAACTGACCATGACCTCCTTGTATTCCACCTGTTGAAAGCTGCCGCTCAAATAATTTTGGTGTGAGATATTGCATTCCAAGGGAAGACTTGCCACCACTCAGTTTAGCTGGAGTGGCACCCCGTAACCCAACCCCGTGGGTACAAAGTAGCATCCCTTGCCATGAATCATAATCATGAATCTAAAGTTTCGACGAGCGCCACTGGGAACACATTTTTGTAGTCTTGGGCAATTCTCCCTGCACTCCGCCATTCCATCCAATTTTCATGCATGAGAAAAAACGGACCTTTGGGCCGCTAGCCTCACGCGCATGTTAGACAAAACCGGCAGGCGCGCGTCAGCAGATTCAATCGATCAGGATGGCGTCGATCAGCATCCAGTGATCTCCAGCGATCCCCACAGCTACCAAGGCTCCTGGGCTGCATCTCCTGCCAGATCCGTGGTAACGTCATGACGTGGAATGCGTTGATGAGTGCCTGCAGACCCAGTGAAGAGGAGATGCAGGCGAGCTGCTCTCTGGGAGTTTGCTCCATTCAGTCCATTCTCGTCCATTATGTCATGCTATATTCTGCCCCGGGAAGTTTTCCAGAGACGTTTCCGGCTGGCTCTGAAAGACAGATTCTTTGGGAAATGGTCACCAGCTGAACATTCAATGCACATTGTCCTTTGCGGGCATGTTGTGGGCTACACTTTTAATATGTTTTGATCTTTGGGGAATTTGGCTTGGTGTCCCCTATGTGCCCTTATACTTTTATTCTCAAACATCATCTTGTTTGTGGAAGCGACTTTCCCCCTGAAACCTCTCCTTCCAAGCATGGATGCCAATTTGGTTTAAGCCAGCAAACCTTTTCGGGATCCACTTGAACTCTGGGTACCCGTTGCCTTGTGGCCTGTAAACTAATCCAGATTTCCACGGTTGAGCGCTTTCCGTCTATGCCCATTCTGTGGCTCTTGATTTTTGTGGAGGATTTGCATGCCCGTTAGTTCCAGTTCTTTTTCTTTGGTATGCGCAGCTAGTGGCTGATGGCAACAAAGCATCTGTATTTTTTTGAGAGGGGCCACCGCGAAGTACCGTACCCCCCACCACATGTACCAGGTTTCGGATAGATTCTTCAGCGCCCAAGTGCCTGCCATGCAGCTTCACAGGTGTGGCAGGAATGGAATTTCGGATTAGCTTGCCTGGCACCTTGGCTAAATTAGCCCCAAAAGGTCGGCTTGTTGGCCATACGCCAGTTCCGCTGAGGAACGCATGCGCCAGGAATCATTAGAGCCGAGTGGCGCCAGTTGTTCCACGGTTGCACTGGGGTCGAAGGAAGCGGGTGACCCATTTCAACATTTTCCAGCATGGACATCTTTACATTTTTGATAGGTCGTCATTGGTTTCGAAATGTTCCGCATATGTTCAAGATCGATTTGGAAAATTGTTTTCTTGACATGTTTTGTCCTGGTTATCTAATCCGGCAAGAAGGAGGTATCGCTGCTTTCTAGATCTTTGTTCGCCCATCTCAAACATTCCCAAACCCATGACATTCTAAAAAAAATATCATGAAACCCTCAAAGATGTTGGCAGTTGGCCATTTTTCTTCAAACCAAGGTGCATTTTTTGTTGTTGCACAGTAGTCTAGTATGTATACCTCATATTCTCACCTTAACTGTGGCGTGGCTCAAGATAAAACAGTGTGTGTAGCTGCCCATTTGGTTTGTGGTCTATCGTGACTGTTAACCCATTTCTACAGGTTATCAGCCGTATCGCGAAGCGATCGCTGGTTTCCTTTTGTTTCGCACTTTTCGCTCTTCCTCTGTAGTTCTCGCCATGTCAAATCCCCCTGCGTTACCTGCCCCGGGCGGGAACGCCACGGCTGCTTTAGCATTGGCGAACACATCACAACCGGAGGAAATGGTGATCCACTCAGGTGCGGCTACGACGACAGAAGGTGATATGAGTTACTTGGATGAAGAGTTTGACCCATGCCGCCAAGATCCACGCAGGAACATGCCAGGTGTCGTTGAATCAAGTGTTGAAATCAGTCAACTCAATACCATCAGCTTTAACACTGTTGATCAGCGTACCGCCAATTTGGCAGTGGTACAACAGGGTATTGATCCGAGCCTGGCGAACCAACTTATGGCTGCTCAACAGCAGGCATTGCAGAGTGAGGCAAACGTGCGCCACTCTGAGGTCATGGAACGTCAACGCATGGAGCTTGTAAGTGAAGCTCGAGATCAACTTGCAAGCGTCGAACAACAAGCAGCCGAAGAAATATCCAGGAAAAACCTTTTGTTGAACGAGCAGGCCGCCCAGGCGATGAGTGAGCAGAAGTCTGCTCAACTGCAAGTCACAGCGCAGGATCATCGCATCAGGGAACTGAGTGCCGAACTGACTCATGTGGTCAACAGTGCAGGTGTTTTGACATCGTCTGCGGAGAAGTCCAACGCTGATCTGCAGGAAGCACGTTCAGAACTTGCAGAGTACCGCGCTCAGATTGATGCAATGAATCAACACGCTTTGAACATGCATAAGCTGGCCGAATCTCAGAAGAAGGACTTCGAGGCGGAGATTGAGAAGCTTCGGAAGGAGCAGAGAGAGCTCATCCGGAATTTAAAGTCTCAACCTCTGGAGGGAACTCCTGGACTTATGATTCACTATGGTTCAGGGAAACCCATTCCACAATCCTCGAAGCCCAAGGGTCCAACCATTGTAGAGTTAGCTTCGGGAAGCAAGAAGCCTCAGCATTCATCAGATGCTGACGACGAGCATTTTCAGGCAGAACCTTTGAAGCCACCGGGACTTCCCGGCGGTGGACCTCCAGGAGATGACGATGGTGATGATGACTATGACGACAAGAGAGGTCGCAAAGACAAGAAAGACAGGAAGAAGGACCGCAAAGCTAGTCGTGGCCGCTCGCGACGACGACGGCGAAGAGATCCTTCATCCTCACCTTCTTCATCATCGACATCCCCTACGACATCAAGTTCGGATTCTGAGAGTTCCTTTGCACGAAAGGTCAAAAGGGCCTTGGAGCGTTCTAGGACTAGTGATACTAAGGCCAAAGAGTCTGATAGGATCCTTGTACCTAAGTTCCCACAACCCGAAAATTATAGGAATTGGAGAATCCGAGTAAGGGATGCCATAATTGCTGCTTCTGCTAAACCCGACCTAGCCTTTCAGTGGGTGGAGGAAGTGTTCAGGACAGATCAGTCTGTCGATGCCTTGAAGGACTCAGGTAAATTCGTGACCCTGGACGCAAAGCTCATGTCTTCGCTCACCAACATCTGCGAAGGGGACTTTGCACGGCAACTTGACATCTTTAAAGAAGAACAAGCCAAGTCAGGGACACCAGCTAGGGGACGTCAAGCATTGCTCATGATTCATAAACACTTCAGTACAAGTAGGAAGCATGGTGCAGTGTACGACATTGAGGACCTCATGGCTGTTACCTTGGTCAATGATGATCTCAGAGGTTTCATCACCCGATGGGACGCTGTGATCGCTGGAATGACTTCCGAGCCTGACATGATGTGGAAGCAAGCCTACTTTCACAACGCCATCAAGAACTTCAAGCCTCTCTCTCATGATCTGGCTGTGTATGATCGCACACCGGAGGGGGAACCCAACCGCTCTTATGATTTTCTCATGAAAGCTGCGAGGGACTACCTTGAGAGGAGACGTCTTGAGAAGATGCGCCAGGCCACCAAGAAGTCTGTTTCAGGCAAAAGAGATGCAACGCCAGCACCCACGAGGCCTACATCCACGGGAAAGCCCACTGGCATTTGCTACGACTTCCAGGCTGGCAAGTGTACCAGGGGGAAGGATTGCCGATACCGACATGAAAAGGCAGACAAAGGCAAAGGCGGAGGTAAGAAAGGCAAGTCCAGATCCAAGTCAAGGGGCGATGGTCGTTCATTGGAACCAGGTGTGCAAGTTTTGGAAGGCAGGTAAGTGTCAACGAGGTAATGACTGCGCTTTCCAACACCCACCAAAGCCTGCAGCTGCATCTACAAAAGATGACAAGCGTGGAAAGAGCCAGAAAAAGAAGAAGAAGAACAGAAAGAAGAAGGGCGATCGCTCCAGATCGTCGAGCCGAGGTTCCAATTCCTCGAGAGGCTCTCAGAGTCTCAAGGACAAAGGGGGAAAACCATCTTCCTCTGGCTCAGCTGCAGTATGCCTGATGCGCGCTCTGATGATGGTCGCAGTCGTCAACCCTTCGACCAGCACTCATCGCGTGCCGGAAGGCATCGCCTCTCCGCATTGTTTCAACCAGCATTTTGCTATGCCAGTTACACCCAATCGCACTGTTTCATTTGGG